TCTTATTAGCACAGTCAAAAATGTGATAAATGTCCTGTCCATTAAACTTGCTGGTGTCTGGCAGTCTTGACTCTGTACCTGCTGCTGAAACTATTGTTTTTGATCTATCTAAGTATACTTGCCCCTCTACTCCTCGTATCCTTTGGTTCTTTAGAGTCTGACAGAATGCTTCAGTTACATTCCATCTTGTTGTGGTGGTAAGAACACAGAACTGGATGCGATAAAGCCAAAAGACCTACAATGCTACACCCTTAAATTTGGCTACTTGTAGGTTATAAATGGTCAATGTTATCTTTTATTAAAGGATTCACTTTAGAAATAATAATTCCAGGAGAGAATAGGATAGCACACGCTATCCCACTGAACAACCTGGTACAGGTATAAGATGAAGTAAGTGATCCTCTGGGGAGCATTTGAGGAAACTCCCTGGTGGTCTTGAATTTTGGCCTTGTTTGGAGATACCAGAAAAACCCTGAGATGCTATTTAATTTGGAGAAGCAATTTTAAAAATAAGGAATAGAAAGAAAGATAAAAGTTTTAGAGACAGGAAGTCCAAGAATTTTTTTTAAGTATTTTCATGAACAACCTAAGACGCAGGACCAAATTGAGGAATTATTTCATAGGATAACCTATCATCAGGCAGAAAGTAACCAGGCTTCTGAGGCGGTAGAGTGTTGCTACAAGACTGCAGATGGAGAAACACAGACAGAAGCTTTCCAGGGTGCCTAGAATGACGTATCCCTGACAATGGCCAAACAAATCAGCACAAAACCTCAAAGAATCTGGCCAGGATGGAAGGAGACTAGCAGTGGGCACATAGGATTTGACTGGTTGATTGGTACCTCACGGCGTAACATACAGGTACCTGCCTACAGTTCCTTAAGTCACAGAACATGAGCAAACCTGAAGTTTATAGGAAACATTCAACAAACACATATACGTTTTTGTGACTTCCATTTATAAGACATTTCTGTAACTGTACATGGTGAAACAAACAAACAAACAAAAAACACCCAAATGAACAGAAGATGCCAAAAAAATACAAGCATTTGGTGACTGAGGGTGCTACTATCACAACCTGAATATTACTCAAGCGGAACCCTAAAAATCAGCAACTTCAACCAAAAAGGCAGCTCTGCCCATAGAGGGCATGGAGTCACTACTTTCAGTTCAAATCCTGACTTTATAACTTCTTAGCTGTGCACCTTTGAAAAGGTACTAAACCTCTCCTTAGTCTCCACATCTGTACAGTGGGGTATGTATCCCTACCTCATTTGAGGACTGAATAAACAATAATGCTTATGGTAGCACTTTGTAGACTGAAAGAGAGCTACATTTCTGTAGTATAGCAATTTACCCATCTCAAAGAGCTGGGCTCTCTGCATAAGCAAGAAGCAAATACCTGAGGTGTCACATGCATGCCTTCCCGTTGAGGGCTCTCTCTGGGGGGTGCTGCGCCTATAAATGATGTGGGGTTTGTTTTGTTCCTCTTCATCTTCTTGTTCATCCATGGACTGTAGTGGTTCAATAAAATAATCCCCATCATGAGACCGGAATGTGCCCAGCTGCAAATGAAGAGAGATGGGAGGTTGATTTAACATAACTCAGTCATTGGGAGGAAGAAAAACAAAAGAACATTTTCAAGTAAAGATGGTGTCATTTTACCCAAATTATTTTTCAGAAGGGTTGTTTCAACTGAAAATGCTGCAACATATGTGGAGAAGTGGTTTATTTCCACTCTCTGTCATATCAGTACATTTTCTAGAAATTATTTATTATTTACTATTCTTATTATTTTAGAGATACGGTCTCGCCCTCTCACTCAGCCTTGAACTCCTGGGCTCAAGCGATCCCCCTCAGCCTCCTGAGTAGCTGGGATTATAGGTGCATGCCATCATGCCCAGCTAAATTTTTTACTTTTTGTAGAGATGGGGGGGTCTCAATATGTTGCCCAGGCTGGTCTTGAACTCCTGGCTCAGCCTTCCAAAGTGTCATATCAGTAACTGATTCTTGGTTTGACTCCAGTTGATTGTACCTGCTATCCAAATCTGTCTCTAAGAAATACTTCCTTAGGGCTCAAGTTCCAATCATTACTACAGGCTGTTGAAAGAGTCTTGGAAACTTAAAGAGCCTGGAAACTTAGGGACAAGTATGCATTGCAGCAGGAAAAGCTGTCCTATTGAAGTCTTCCCATTGATTCAAATTCAAGAAGCATATTTTGGCCACAATGCATTCAAGGTGGTACCACCTGTAATGCTGGCACATGATCCTCTCACCAGCCCTTTCCTTTGCAAAACAGGGGAGTGATGTCCTGCAAGGCTTTGAAGCCAGATTGCTCTAGGTTCCAGTTTCAGCACCACCACCTACCCATTCACCTTGGGCAAGTTCCTTAACCACTCTGAGCTTAAGCTTCCTTGTTTGTCAGCTGGGGATAGATACTTAATGTAACGAGTTACTGTGCAGATTAAAGGAGATAATGATAATTAAGTGCTTAGCAAAATGCCTGACACCTTGCAAAGACTTACGACTTATGAACGGTTTTTGGTGTTGCCAGCGTTAGCCTCTAACCATTAGGATAAAATTTGCTCTTCCTAATAATTCTAAGCACCTTGCAAGTCAGTTTTGCTCCTTTTCACCCCACATATCCAGTTTTTGCAAATGATAAATGATACCTCAAGATTGAACCACCCAAACTAAAAATTACAAGAACGCTGAAAAATTCCCTATGCCACGTTGCTGAGTGGTATTTAAAAGGAGAAATCAAGCTCCTCTCTTCTCTTCCACTTTCCCATTTCCCATGCTGGAAAAAAAAATCTGATGCCTTGCATCCTTCCATTGACACAGGAAAAATGACTCCCTGAACATCAGCAACTGCATCCGCATCAGCATCATCCAGGAGCTTATTAGAAATTCAAATAATTGTGCTCCACCTCAAATCTGATCTATTGCATCAAAATCTCTAGGGGCAGGGTCCAAGAATTGAAATGTTAATGAGCTCCCAGGGTATTCTTATGCATGATAAAGTATGAGCAGCACTAGGCTAAGCCATTGGTTCCCCAAAACAGCTAGCTTCAAAATTGCCTGGGAAGATTTTTTGTTTTTGTTTTTCAATTAGATTTGGGGCATTACCCACTACTCACAGATTCAGATTTTCTAGGGATGGATCTAGAATGTTTTTTTGTTTTAAAAGCTCTCCACATGATTTATGAGCCCCTGGTTTAAGAAAAGGGCAGCTCAGGTGTGGTCAGACTAAGAGACAGAGTAGCTAGTTGCCAGAGAAGTGATTTAATAAATTTACTCTCTGCCTGTTTTCAATACACAACTCTGGTGTTCTCCCAGCACAAATCAGAGCGCATATCACAACATGTGAAACCCATCAGAGACATGAGTCCTGGGAAAGAGCCAGGGAGCTCAGCTGGTGACGATTTGCCACCTTTGATTGGTAAATGGGAAAACCAAGACACAGAAGGAGGAAGTGATTGGGCCCAAGTTCCCCTTCCATGGTACAGAAGCAGCTGGACAGTGCTAGTGCTGAGTCTAACCTGACTTTAGTCCTGTGCCTTTTTAGAAAAGAACCCTGAAATTCTCTTCAGGAGAACAGGATCAGTCTCTGGTCTACGGTTAAGCGCCAAGGATCAGAAAGACCCGGTTGAAATCCCAACCCTGCCACTTATGAGCTGTGAGACCTTGGGCAAGTCTCCAGCTCTCAAAGTCTCAGATTTTTTTTTTTTTTCTTGTCAGTAAAATGCGTTGTTTTGAGGATTGGGTTATTGGAGGATTTGGATGAGATAATACATATGTAAACTACTCATAATAGCCAGGCAGATGATAATAAGAGCTCAATAAATCGTATCAATATGATGCCAAAATTAATCGTGCTGTTGATTCACAAAGGTGGGCCTAAGAGTTATCTTTTCTTGGTTAAGGTGACTATTTATTCAAACATGTATACTAAGTATACATACGTAGTACATACTAAGTACATACTAGGCACAACATACAAAGCTCCAATATAGGAGAAAAATGAGTTGATGCTGACCCTGTTGCCAAGAAGAAAGGGATAAAACATGTGTACCAAGAACCTTGATGTAAGGGAGAACATACTAAGCATCATAAGAGAGACTCTCAGAAGTGTCTATGAAGGTGGAGGGGGAGAGATGACATCAACCTGGGGAACTATGAAAAGGTCTTCTGGGAAAGAAGAGATATAAATCATATACACCTCCAAAGAAGGGTAGGATTTGAGTTGGTGAAGATGAGTGAGAAGACCAAGTAAATTCAAAGGCACAAAGGCAATGAAGACTAGGATTGAGAGTGGAGTGCAGAGAAAGCAGTGTAAATAGTCTGACTGCACTGTAAATAGTCTCAAATGCCAAATGGAGTTAGTGATCGAGGAGAAAGACTGGAGAAGAAGCCCAGTGTAATATTTCTTAGACATCAGTCCTAAGGAGAGAGGGGGAGAAAAGTGAAGGGGTATAGATTTAGGATAGAGATATTCAGGAGAGGTGAGCGACCCATCTCAGATGAAATTCAGAAAAACTGACAAGTGACTAGGGGTGGCAGGATGGCACGGCCCACTCCTGGAAGACTCCTAGGCGAAGAACTAGCAACATCATGACGCCACTGCTACATATGTGGTAAGGGGAAGTCTTGGGAGGAGATAACTTCCAGAAGGAAGACAAAGGGGCAGGGGTTTTGGAGCTAGATTAATGACTGAAGATACAAAGAGCCAGAGCGCATATCCTTAAGATGTATGAGGGCCCTTTTCCCCAAAAGAGGCAGACTGCGAATTAAACGCAATATAAATGAAGTTATTACAGTACAGGTAGTCGTTTCTGAAGCCCCAGTCCTCAGTTCCCAAAGAAACCACGTGCCCATTACCACCTAAAACTGCCAATGAAAATGAAGGTGCTGCGCAGTAAAATATTTATACAACTGCTGGGGCCACTCGGCTTCAGCGGGTGTGGAGGCGGGGAGAGAGGAGGAGTAAAGACTGTTTACAAACGACGTACACACGTAGTCCTATCCCTACGGTCCTGGAATTGGGGGTTACTATCTTGGAATCTGGGGGCACTCCAGGCTCTGGGCTCAGACGGCTGACTTCTGCCTATCCGAACCTTAACCTTTCAAAGACGGGAAGGATTCCGGAGCTCTTGCCCTAAGTCCTGGGGCAGCGATGACTCACCGCAGCACCCCCTCCCACTTCGCCAAGCTGCCGTCTCCGCCCACCCCCAAACAATCTCGACAGCGCATTTCGGGAGCCACGGCTCCGGGTGCTCTGCTGGGGGCTAAAGGGGTTTATCCCTTTCCTTGAATCCCAGCAGGCTAGAACTACCCCCTCCCAGGCTTCAGGCTTGCCATGCTCCCCACCCGATCCTTCCAATGCGAGGCAGAAAAGGAAGGATGCGCTTGGGAACTCTTAAGAGCCGCGAACGACAGCGCACTGATGGAGCAGCCCAGTGTCCAGGGGTAAGTATCCAAGGCCCCACTTAGAAAAGGGAGGGAGGGGCTGTGGGTGCTTCGGGAAGAGTAAAGGCATCACCGGGCACACTGCCTACGACCCCATTGCGCGTACAGCGCCATGCGCTGGGAAAGACTGACCCGGGTAAGTTTCTGCGTCACACGCGCGTGGCAGAAACGCACGTCGCTTGGGAAAGTCAAGGACCACCCTTGCTCGGGCCAGAACCGTACAGCAGCGACTCCTCAAATGTCGAGAAGTCGGGGGCAGATGCCTTGTAAGATCCACTGGAGGGCACGTGCAGGGGTCGGCAGAGAGTCGGGGAACCAACGTGGATTCCCTGCTAAATGCGTATTTGGAAGCGCAAGAAGGCGGTCTCCCCGCCCTGCCTCAGTCCCTAGGGAAACGTGCGCCGCAGGCTCCCTCTCTCCACTCCCTGGAACCCCTAAGTAGTAGAAACCCCAGAGGAACCGAAATCACGTCCGGACAGCCTCTCCAGGCTGTCTCCCACTGTCCTGTTTCTCCCGGCCACCCCACCAGTAGGGTGCAGAGTTGGACTGCGCTGCACCCCCACTCTCGGTTCCACTCCAATTCAAAGCGTCCGGGGTAGGCTCCGCCTTCTCCCCCGCCCCCAGAGCCCTCGGCCCACCCTTCCGTTCTTGGGACGGGACCTGCTCCCTGTCAATCCAGTTCAGCCTCAGGGTTCCTGGCGCGTGAATAAAGGCCCTGAGAGAAAGCGGGGACTCTAGATTACGCACCGCCCTCCACAACACACACGCAAGGAACTCCCAGTGCCTTGGGCAGGGGATCCTCAGCCCCACATCCCCGAGGCAAGGCGCACCAATGAGGAGTCTGGTCCGCCCTGCGCTCAGCTGCTCCGCTCCCGGGTGGCCAAGTTTGCTGCAGGGAACCGCAACTCCAGCAACTTTCTCCGAGTTTGGAAACTGACTTCCAGGCCGCCTCGCAGCGTTGGGCAATGCGCCGCTAAAGCAAGTCCAAACTCCAGAAAGCTCTGAAACATCCAGAAGCCCCTGGGGGCGGGTGTGTGCGCTCCACGCCAGTGTACACGCACGCACAGAGCTAGCTACCCAAAACCCTACGAGTTTCTAGCTGATATTTAACGCCGGAGAGGAGGGGAGCCTCGCCACAGTGAGGGTCTCTAGGCTTAGAGGGCAATTAAGTCTTCCAGAGGCGGGCGAGGAGGCGGAAGGGGAGAGGAGGTGGCGCGCGCCCACTTACCATTCCCGAGCAGAGGCTGATGACTGCCGTGTGCTCGGACTTGGTATTGACATAGCCTTTGTAGAAACAGTGCTTGAGTTCCGCTTCCTCTTCGGAATAAAACTTGGTCTGGTTCACCCCGGGCGTCCCGAGGAGGGTGACAGTGAACAGTGGAGCGATAAATCCGGCATTGGCGGTGAGATTAAATAGAAACTGCTGGCCGAAGGCGGAGAGGCGGTAATGCGCCTGGGAGGAGGTAGAGGAGGAAGAGGAGGAGGCGAAGGCAGGCCAGGGGTCAGTGGCAGAGTTAATGCTCCGTCGCCTTCTTTTGAAGTGGACGTTCGTGGGAAAGGGTTCTCCGAGAGCATTCACTCGGATGGGAGACACGATTTCGTATTCACTCAGGGTCTCTAATAATTTCACTGCAGAGAGAAGCAGAGGTATATGAACCAATAATTCATTTTTCCTCAAGCTTTAATTTAAAACGAAGGTAGGGACTTTGTTCTGACTTTATTTTCCAGCCCATTCGAGCCAATCCCTTCACCCTTAATCAGTGGACAAATGTTTGCTAAGCACCTACTATGTGCCAGTAACAGGACCTGTGCTAGGTGCTGAGGATACATTATTCCGAGCCAGACGATTAACAAGTCAAAATATATATGATTTAAGATATTGATAAATAACCTGAATAAAATAAAACATGACGCTATCTGGTGCCCCCAGTTACTAAATTATTTTAGTTTGCAGCGTGGGAGTGGGGATGGGGGATATATCTAGCTAACAGCAAGGTGGGGGGGGGGGTTGCCTAAATTCGTTTCCACAGTGTCCCTCCCTAGCAATTGATTGGGGATGACCCAAATAAGGGAGAGGCTGCAAAACGGGAGATAATTCTTTCTAGGAAAAGGAGAGAGGCCTCCGCTGTGGGGTGCCCCTGCCCGGGAACGAGGACCGGGAGGCGGTGTCGGGGCCGGCGGGGTCCCGGGGGCCGGAGCCTGGTTACCTTGCCTCGGGTGCAGCCTGTCCTTGCGCACGGCCGCCGCGGCGTCTGGGATCCCCATCTCGGCCAGGTCCCGCACCAGGAGCGTTAGCAGTGTGGCCCAGGATACAAACTGCATGGTGCTTCCCACCCCTCCCTCCGCTGCCCCCACCCCCCTCCCTCCTGCCCTCCTTGGCTGAGGCGGCGACGCGAGGCAGCGGCCGTGGAGAGCGCGCGGAGCCCGGCGCCCGCCGCCAACTTTTGACTTTAGGAGTCGCTGAGGTCTCCCTGCGAGGGTCCCGTCTGCGCTCGGCTGAGCAACGCCGCCGCCTGCCGAGAGCTGAGCCGCTCGGGCCGCAGGAGGAGCCGGAGGAGCAGGAGGAGGAGGAGGACTGGGGCTCGGCTGCTTGGCCGCATAATGCCCAGCGAGCGGGCAGGAGAAGGCGAGGAACTTGCGCTCCGAGGCGCGCCGGGCGCCCTGTGCTGGCCGGGATAGCTGAGCGGCTTCTTGAATGGGGGGCTGGGGGGGCGGAGGCGGGGGGGCCGCGGGTCCACAGCCTCTCAAATGCCCCCGGTGCACGCCTCTAAGAGGAGGAGAGGGGAGGAGAAAGCGAGACGAACGGGGACCGCCTCCTTCCAGACCATGTCCCCTCCTCGGCCGGCCCGTGCGGGACTCTCAGCCCGAGGCCCTGCCGGCTGCAAGAGGCGGATACCAGAGGCGTCACCAGCGCCGGGGCAGCTGGTCGTGGTCCTCGCCACCTCGCTGAAGTGGGGTTTTCTGAGATTCCCTGCCCCGGGGAGGGAAAGCACGGAAAGTTCTCTCCCTTTCCTGGCGCGCGTGCAGCCACTTCCCCTCTCGTCTTTTTCCTCTCCTCTCCTCCCTTCCGAGTCTCTTTTTTCTCCTCCCCCTTGTCTCCCTGTTGCTGTGCCTCTCAGACTCTGTCCCCTCTCCTCATTTTTCCCTGTGATGTCCGTCTTCTCCCCGCCCCACCGTGTCTCTCTCTGTTTCTCACATTTCTCCTTTTCCTTTCCTTTCTCTCCCGTCCCTATCTCTTGCCACCAGTCCCCTTCTTTTGGTTTCTTACAAGTGAAAGTGGCCCAGCGCAGGAGCGCCTTCCCCTCCTACAGTTTTTCATTCGGGAGGAGATTTGGCACCTGAGCTCCGCTCTCGATTTAATCGCCCCAAGTCAAGAGCTTTAGAAATGGGGTTATTAATCCTGCAGCTCGGAGTAAGTTTCGAATACGTGGTCTCTTGAAAATTTCGGAAAATGTTTAAGCTGTGCTTTCCACCAACCTCTGTCACCATTCGTGGAGGGTCCATACCATTCTCTAGGTCCCCGGCCCAAAAAAAGGTTAAGAAGGCGTTTTGGCAGCGAGAAGGGGCGGGGACTCTGGCGCTCCTTACTACCCGGGGGTTTAGAGATGGGAGGGGAAGGGGGGGATGGAGTATAAAGTTGTAGATCCCTGTGGGAAGCACCAGTCCCTGGAGGGATTTCTCAATCACTTCCGCTTGCTTTCAGCCTGAAAGATGCTTGGAAAGACTGAAAGCAGACGCTTCAAGCTACACCTTCGCGCGCGCGCGCGCGCGCGCGCGCGTGTGTGTCTGTGTGTGTGTGTGAGAATTGTTCAATCCTGGGTGGTTCAGTGGCATTTTTTCTTTAACCAGCCCTCAGGAAGATAGAAAGTGTTAATTTCAGGATAAAAGACATGACAATATCGGTAAAAATATATAAATATATGACTAATAAATATATATTTGCCCAAGTATCCTATAACCGGGGTTGAGGTTCTGTTGCGTGGTAGGTTAGCACTCAGGACTAGAAATACCAAAGATAGCCAACACTAGGAACCAAATCACAATATGCTAGCAATGTCAACTATTCTTGAGATATTAATACAAATATTTCTTCCGGTGAAGGGTAAAAATGACTTGGCAAGACGAATTTGCTAAATAATTGTTAACCCAAATTGATGATGTTACCATCGTCTTATTACTAGAATTTCATAATGGGTATGTAAAATGTAAGAATGGAAAAATAACACCTGTATTGTACACAATTAGAGATTTTTAGAGAATGGCATTTAAACCTTGAACTTCCAAATTAATTCACTAAAATACATTTCTTCTAATACACAGTACTTCTTTTTATTGTAATAAAATTCCCCACAATCACGGTGTCTGGGAGTTGCTAAGAATTTAGTAAGGAACAGAAAAATATCAAGAAATCAATCTTATTGGCTGATTCCTGTGGGAAATATTCCAGTACTTCCATTGTAAAATTACTCAAAAGTATAGCACTTTTCAGTATTTTCCATTAAATATTTTTTTTCTCTTTCAGTTCAAATCCCTCCTGGCAAACAGAAGTTAACTAACAGTATAGAAATGATGCTATGTAGGGACAGAAGCCTCCTTTGTGTACTCTCTCTCCTTTGCTTTCTTTTTAGGACTTTGCTTGAAGAATGAACTTTGGCTACAGTTTTAAAAAATTGATCCACAAGAACTGATAGGCCAGGAAGATACAAAATATCTCTTGGTGACCTCCTGAGATGACCAAGAGCCTAGGTTTCTGAATTTCTCATCCTTAGTGAGGCTGCTCCTCTTTTCTTCAATGTATTAGCTGGCTTCTGCATTTACATCTGCAAAAAAGTCTTAAAGAATCTTAGAAAAAGTCTTTTAAATCGTGAGACATGAAAAGGACAGTTGAGCTAACTAAACAATTCAGGCAAAAATCTTTTGTCTGAATAATTACTCTTTGTCTAAATAAGTACTCTTATATTCAGTACTTACCATGAGGTAACATACAGCATTTAATTTCA